GTGAGGAGGGGACAGGGGACATCGTGGTCATGGAGTGAGGAGGGGACAGGGGACATCACAAACATGGAGTGAGGAGGGAACAGGGGACACCATAAACATGGAGTGAGGAGGGGGCAGGGGACACCATAAACATGGAGTGAGGAGGGGACAGGGGACACCATAAACATGGAGTGAGGAGGGGACAGGGGACATCGTGGTCATGGAGTGAGGAGGGGACAAGGGACCCTGTGGCAATGAGGGGAAAAGGGGACAGGGCATTCCATTGCCATGGCGGGAGGAGAGGACAGGAGATGCCATGGCAATGGGGGGAGGAGGGGACAGGGGACACCATAAACATGGAGTGAGGAGGGGACAGGGCACCCTGTGGCCAGAGAGGGAGGAGGGGAGAGGGGATGCCATGGCCATGGAGTGAGGAGGGGACAGGGGACACTATGGCCATGGGGGAAGGAAGGGACAGGGGACATTGTGGCCATGGGGGAGGAGGGGAAAGGGGACATCATGGCCATGGAGTGAGGAGGGGACAGGGGACATTGTGGCCATGGAGTGAGGAGGGGACAGGGGACATTGTGGCCATGGGGGAGGAGGGGAAAGGGCATCCCATGGCCATGGAGTGAGGAGGGGATAGGGAACAACATGGCCATGGGGGGAGGAGGGGACAGGGGACATTGTGGCAATTGATTGAGGAGTGGACAGGGCACCCTGTGGCCATGGGGGGAGAAGGGCAGAGGCTGAAGTCCCTGGTCTTGGGGGCCCCCCCAGCGATGGACACCCCGTGAGGGCTCAGCAGAAACCAAAGCATGTGGGGGATCCTCCAAAACCCCAAACCCACAGGCACCCTAGAAATGGAATTTGAGCCCCAAATTTTGAAAATGGGAGTCCGAAACCTCTCGTGAGGTTTCCACAGAGTGACTTGTGGCCGTGTCTCCATGTCTCAGTCCCTCCCAGCTGCAGGAGCACAGTGGCTCCCTGTCCCTCCATCTGCAGGATGATTTAAAGGCAGAGACCCCAGGCCAGGGCTCTTCCTGCACAGGTGCCCCAAGTCTGGCACAATAAGTCCCCATCTGGCATTTCATTGCCATCACTCCTGTAATCACCTGGTAATTAATGGCCACCTCTGTCCCACGGCTCTCACAGCAGGATTAACGGCTCTGCCACCCCACAGGGTTGTTTTATTTTCCCTTCCCTGGCTCTTGTTCACAGGGAAACAAACCTGAAGTTCAGGCAAGCCCTTCTGGTCACCCACCAGGAGCTGGGGAGCGAGGAGAGCATGGCTGCCTTTGATGGTGAGTGTCCAGGACCATCCCACTGGGATGGGGTGGGTTCAGCCTTGGGAAGTGATCCCCGATCCCTTGTCCCCGTCAGTCCACACATCAGTTCCTCCTGCCTGCCAGGACACAAAGACCTTGGGTGGAGGTGCTTCCCCAGCTGAGTGGCTCTGTGATGGGTCCATCAGGGTTGTGCACCTTTCCCCCTGCCCTGGATCTTGATTTTCCCACTTGGAATCAATATATTGGTTCCCAAACCTGAGCTCAGACCCTGGGCTTTTTTTCCTCTGCTCCTCCCCAGGATTCAGTCTCCCCTCTCAGAGGCTCTGGGGGTGTTGTGTTGGTCCCTCTTCTAGTTCCTATCCCAGTGCAGATCCTGCACTGAGTGACCTCCCAGCACTTCCAGCCTCACCCGAATTTGAGCCTCCAAATCAGCTCCACTTGGCTGCTTTGACTGGGCTGTGAAGGCACCAGGAGAGAGAAATGTGCCCTTAGTCACTGACCTAATTCAGACAAGCCAGTACAGGTTCACTGTTTCTGATGTGAGGAGGATGGAGAAGATTACATTGGAGAAGCTGCGTTGGGAAGTCAAAGCTACAGCAGCCTTCCAATTCCTGCAGCTATATCCCGCACTCATTCCCGGGAATTTAAGCTGGGAAAGGAGAAAGTGCCTTAATTTTGAGAGCCTTGAGACTCAGCTTAAGGCCTGCCAGTGCAGCATCATGTTTTCTAAAGCCAAGCCCTCTGTCTTGGCACTGTCTATTATGGCACCAGAGACAGGAGAACAAAAGCTGCTGGAGTTGGCAGAGCCATTATTGGCATTCCTGCGGCTGCATCCCAAGAGATGCCCTGGCAAAGCCTGAATCTCCCCGAGAGGCCCCCAGACCCCTCTTTGGAAGGTCCTTTTGCTTGCCCCTGACCTGTGCCCTCTCCTGCAGGGAGGGTGACCTGTGAGGAGCCCAACAGCCGCATGCACAGCTTCACGGGCACCCTGGAGTGGAGGGGACAGACCCACTCCCTGGACAGCGAGAGGATCCTGCTGAGGGGCTGCAGGATCCGCAACACCGACGTCTGCTACGGGCTGGTGATCTACGCTGGTGAGAGCACCCCCGGGCAGAGGGGCACAAAACAACCAGGATTTTAAGCTGCCCAAGCACTTCTGGCACCAGCAGGTCCCGTTCCCAGCAGAGACAAGGTGGAGGAGCTGCTGCCTCAGCCAAGCCCCAGATGTTTGTCCCGAGCCTCGCTGGTGTCGGGCTCGCTGGCAGGGACACGGTGTGGTGGCATCAAACCTCTGCCAGGTGATATCTCACCTGCACCACTCCCTGGGTCCTCTGCACTTTGTAGGTCAAGGCACTGAGGGTTTGGCTGTGGGGGGAGATGCGGTGTCAGCAGCACTGCTCGGAGAATGGTCCTCCAAAGCCTCCAGAGGAGGGAAGATGTTGCTGTGGAGGAAACCCCCGTCACTCAGCTGCAAGCCAACCTTCTGGGAGGCTGTGGACTCGCTTTTTTACTTCTAAAACATTCCCTGTCCAGGATTTGATTCCAAAATCATGAGGAACTGCGGGAAGATCAAGCAGAAGAAAACCAAGCTGGACCGCATGATGGACCGGCTGGTGGTCGTGGTGAGTGTGGTGCCAACACCTCTGCCCTGCTCCACCAGCCTCCTGGGGCTGCTCACCAGCCTCCTCATGAGAGGCTGCTTGCTTGGGTGATGCTGATTTTCTTCAGCTTGCAATATTTTGCCCGAAATACCTTAAGTTTGACACATTCACAGAACCAGAGAACAGTTCGGGTTGGAAGGGACCTTAAAGCCCATCTCATTCCAACCCCCTGCCATGGGCAGGGACACCTTCCACTGGACCAGGATGCTCAAAGCAACATTGGTCCTAGAAAAGCAGTGGCCTCTGTGGTGGGATGTTCTCATCCCGGGACATTCCCATCCTGGGACGTTTCCATCCCGTTTTCCCTCCCCAGATCTTCCTGCTGCTGTTGGTCACATCCCTCGGCCTCGCCGTTGCCTCTGGGTTCTGGGCCCGGACGTTCCAGGAGAAGCACAGCTACCTGGCTGCTGTCTACAGGAACACCAGCCCTGCCCAGCAGGCCTTCCTCACCTTCTGGGGCTTCACCATCCTCCTGAGCGTCATCATTCCCATGTCCATGTACATCACGTAAGGATCACAGAGCTGGGAGGTGACCAGGGCTCGGGACCCCACCCCCTGCCCTCGCCCACCACGTGCCACCGGGGTCACAGCCCCAAACTGGGGTCACAGCCCCAAACTGGGGCTGCACTGAAGGTCAGGGTGTGGCCTGGGGCACCTCATTCCCAGGTGTTCCCTTATCCAGGAGAGGGGGAGGGTGGGTGGGGTGTGTACCCTACAAACATGGAGGATGTGCTTTGAGATATTCCCCAAGGAAAACCAGGATAGGGATCCAAGAGCTGCTCTGATGTTGGGAATCACTGGCAGGCCGAGGGGGAGGCTGGTGAAGGTGCTGCTGCCCAGGGTGGGGGAGAGAAGGGCACAGTCACCGTGAGCAGGCAACGATCCCAGTTTGTGCTGGGAAAAAAAAAGCATTTTCCAAACTTTCTGGCCCTTCACTGAATCTCCAGATCTGTGAATTCTGTCATCAAGGGCCAGAATTCCAGAGGGGAGCCCAGCTGCCTGGGTGGGTGATGAACCTTCTGGAAACCTGGCCCTGAGCTTCAGAAACCCTCTTGTCTCCCCCAGCCCAGAGCAACCAGATCCAGGTGGGGAGTTCCCCCCTGCCCTTCCTTCCCGGGTCAGGTGCCCAGGTGCCCCTGGGATGTGAGGAACACAGTCTCCTTCTCCCTGTTTTCTTCTCCCCAGGCTGGAATTCATCTACCTGGTGAACAGCTTCTTTATCAACTGGGACCTGGAGATGTATTATGCTGTGAAGGACATCCCAGCCAAGGCCAGGAGCACCAGCCTCAACGACCAGCTGGGCCAGATCGAGTACATCTTCTCCGACAAGACCGGCACCCTGACACAGAACATCATGACCTTCAAGAAGTGCTGTGTCAACGGCACCATCTACGGTAACCTCGGCTGGCAGCGAGTTTGGAGGGGCTCCTGTGGGCCTGGAACTGGTTCCTTCCCACTCCTCCTGCCTGGCCAGGAAGCTCAGGGCACATGGAGTGACCTTGGTGGTCCAGCACGGAGACAGATGATGCTGCAGGGATTCAGCTCGTTCTGATGCCCACGTCACCGGTGCCACCAGGGCCCAGGTCCCACTGGCCTGGTGTTCCCAGCACATGGAATCAGGGCACAGCTCTGCCCTCTGGCAGTGGAGAGGCTTCATGGCCCAAACTCAGCTGAGATCAGTGAGATTTTCCCCGATAAAAAAAGGAGCCTGGGGGAGGAGCCCAACCCAGCTGCAAACACAGAGCCTGGGTGAGGGGGATCCCACCTGGAATCATCAGCTCCAGGCAGACGAGTAGCAGGAGAAGGGCCAGAGAAGCCCATGGATTTTTACTTTCTGTTAAGGTCTCATGGAGAAAAGATGTTGCTTTTCTTCTTTGCATCATTTTCCAGCTTGGTTTCCAAATCTGGGCACCTGGAGGCTTTCAGGTGACCTATGGAGGAGGCAAAGAAATTATCATTCCTTTTAAGTTGTTTAATTAGAGTGAATGTGTGAAATTGCCCTTCATTTTTCTTTTTATTTTAATTTTTAAAATTGTTATTTTTAATGACTCTGCCTGGTTTTCCCCTTAAAAACTTGAAAATTTCCAAGTCCCTTCTATTCTTGCCACACTTACTTGAGCCCTTGGCTCATTTTTGGGAGCTGTCTTGCTGCTTAACGAGTGAAATTTAGTGGGTGGAGTGAGCCAGAGCTTTAGCACGGAGCTCTTCTTCCTGAGATAAGGGAAAGTTTGTCTCAGGTGCTTGAGACAAATGGACAGTGATAAAAGCAAAAAGAAAAGAGGGGGGAAAAAATCTAGCAAAGTTTTAAAGCAGGAATAACCCCGATTTTGCCCTCTCTGATGTGTCAGGGTGCACCACTTGGAGCAGCATCTTCCCGATCCCGGCAGCCTCTGGCCAATCTCCCAGGAAATGCAGGGGAAAGTAGAGCTGAATTTTTAACATTAAAATCATGTCAAAACTCTGAACAGCCCAAAAGCCAGAAAGGTCAGACCTGGATATCCCGGTGGAGCCTGACACCGATCCCAAAGCTCTGCCCTTTGTTGGCCCCCAGGAGCAGGAATCCCTCTGGAGAAGCTGCTCCAAGCCCCGCTGGTGACACTCCCGATTAACTGAAGTGTTTTTATTTTGCAGGTCCAGGCCCAGGCCATGAGAACAAACCAGTGAGTAACTCCCCCCTGCCCCAGAACACCAAGTGTCACCACAGCCCTGTGTGTCCCAGGTTCTGAGGGTGGCCTGTGCTCCCTCGGGCTGGAGCAGGCAATGACCCCTGCCCGTCCTCAGCTGCCAGGGAAGGACAGGGAAAGGGGGTTTGGAAAATAACACAGTTCTCATATTTTGTTTTTTTCATTCCCAACCTGGTCACACTCCGGGTGTGGGCAGTGCAGGGCTGGCTCAGGCTCTGACCCGGGTCTGGGCCAGCTCAGCCTCGCTGTGTCACATCCCCTGTGCCCCATCTCAACCTCCCTCCTGCCTGTGCCTCCCGCAGGGGTCGGGGTCGGCCTGGGACCACCACGGGGAGCAGAAGGTGGATGTGATGCTGTTGGAAGCCGCCCAGAGGGACAGTGACCCCGTGCTGAGGGAGTTCCTGAGGCTGCTGGCCCTGTGCCACACGGTCATGGTGGAGGAGAGGGGCGGTGGGTTGACGTGCTCGGAGTGGGGTCGAGCTGCCCCTCGGGGCACCGAGGCTGGGGTGGCTCTTTGCAGAGCCCAGTAGAGCTCAGCTGTGGGGTGCAGGGGGGGTGAGAGCCTGGGGGTGGCTCGTGCCACTGTCCCTTTGTCATGGACATGTGCCTTTGGATGGGTTCTAAAGCTCACCAGGGGGAAGAGAAGCACAGGGGGACAATCCGTCCCTGTCTGGACATTTGTCCTGTCTGGGGCAATGAGTGGAAGAGATCATGGAATCCCAGACTGGTTTGGGTTGGGAGGGACCTCAAAGCCCATCCAGTCTCACCCCCTGCCATGGGCAGGGACACCTCCCACTAGCCCAGGTTGCTCCAAGCCCCGTCCAGCCTGGCCTTGGACACTTCCAGGGATGAGCCAGCCACAGCTGCTCTGGGCAACCTGTGCCAGGGCCTCCCTACCCTCACAGCCAACAATTCCTGCCCAATCTCCCATCTCACCCTGCCCTCTGGCAGTGGGAAGCCATTCCCTGTGTCCTGTCCCTCCATCCCTTGTCCAAAGTCCTTCTCCAGAAGAGACAAGTAGGATTGAGTTTCCCTGGCCTGTTGCCTTGGACTTTGGGATTTCCCCCACTCAAGTTGGTGCTGGACAAGAAGCCTGGGCATTGTCTGCCCGGGAGTCTCCATGTCCAGCCTCCCCTCCTCTCTGCAGGCCAGCTGGTTTACCAGGCAGCCTCCCCCGATGAGGAAGCCCTGGTGTTGGCAGCCAGGAGCTTGGGGTACGTGTTTCTGGCCCGAACACAGGACACCATCACCATCAGTGAGCTGGGGAGGACGAGGACCTACCAAGTGCTGGCCATGCTGGACTTCAACAGCGACCGCAAGAGGATGTCTGTCCTGGGTGAGGGGGCTGGGGGGTCTCAGGGAGCCCCTGTGGGGACATGGAGGGTCCCTTCCCTCCTCAGCCCTGCAAGGGATGGCACTGGGATGGATGTGACTGAGCATTGGAATGGGCTGCCCAGGGAGGGGGTGGAGGCACCGTCCCTGGAGGTGTGTAAGGACAGACTGGACGTGGCATCACTGCCATGGTCTGGGTGGCACAGTGGTGTTGGGTCACTGGTCAGACTCGATGATCTCAGGGGTCTTTTCCAACCAAAATGATTCTGTGATTCTGTGACCAAAACCGGCACCGGGGCTCCTGAGGGTCACCCTGGTCATCCCTGAGTTCTGCTCACCTGATACCTCGGTGAAGGCATCTGAGAAGGGTTTGAGCAGCCAAGACAAAACAAGTAAATCCAGGGCCCAGAGGAGGTGTGTGAGGAACTGACAGTCCCTGAGGCCTGATCCTGCCTCGTGGCAATGAAGGCCCCGGGAAATTCCTGTGCTTCCCGTGGAAAAGCACCAGCGAGCCCTGCGCTGCCTTCTGGGGGATGACAGGGCTCAGCGGGGCCGTTGTTCAGGGGTGGTGGGTGGGAGCTGTCTTTGAGGGGGCCTAAGCTGTGCTCCCCCCCCTCCCAGTGCGAGACCCCCAGGGCAGCATCCGGCTGTACACCAAGGGAGCCGACACCGTCATCCTGGAGCGGCTGCGGAGACGGGGCCGCAGCGAGGCCTTCACCGAGAGGGCCCTGGATGTGAGTCCCCCCCAGCACTGCCCTCCCTCCTGCTGCCTTTGGGCTGGGTGTCCCAGAGTGTCCCTTGCTGCTCTTTCTCCCTCTGGCTTCAGGATTTTGGTACTTTCTTCCCTCTGCTCTGGGAGCCTCACCTGCTTTGGGACAGGGGGTAAGAGGGCATCAAACCCACCTCTGGTGTTCTGCACGGACCAGCTGCACTGCAAGGATGCTCGGGGGGGTGCTTTAGGATGGGGGAGGGAGTCAGAGCCCAGAGAGAGACCCTCAGGTCCTGGAGTGTCCCTGGCTCTGCCCATGGTTACCACGGGGAGTCCTGATGTCTCCTCCCTGCAGCTCTTCGCAGAGGAGACCCTGAGGACGCTGTGCCTGGCCAGCAAGGAGGTGAGCGAGGCCGAGTACCAGGAGTGGGGCAGGAGGCACCACGAGGCCGCTGTGCTGCTGCAGGGCCGTGCCCAGGAGCTGGACAGGCTGTACGAGGAGATGGAGCAGAACCTGCAGGTGGGAGGAGGACACGGGCTGGGAGGACCCGTCTGCAGCGGCCCCAGAGGGCAGGAGGGTGGGGTTCAGCTCTCTGGGATGAGGGGGTGAAGTGTCCAGCCCAACACCCACCCCCTGGGTGGGAGGACGGGTGGAGTTCCCCCCAGATGTGACTCTGTGTCCATAGACACTGGGGTAGGTACCTGTCAGGTCATGTCCACCCACAGCAAGGGCTGCTGGTTGGATCCAGGGGTAATTCCCAGCTCCATATCTTGCTGTGCCCTGTGCCATGACATCCGTTCTCCCTCCTTCATCCAGGGGTAATTCCCAGCTCCTTCTCTTGTCCTACCTGGTGCCATGATACCCCTTCTCCCTCCTTCCAGCTGCTCGGGGCCACGGCCATCGAGGACAAGCTGCAGGATGGAGTCCCTGAGACCATCCAGCTGCTGAAACTGGGCAACATCAAGGTGTGGGTGCTGACAGGAGACAAACGAGGTCAGTGGAGGCAGCCACAGACCCCACAAACACATTTCAGCTCCTCCCCTCCCCAGGACTGTCCCTGGAGGTGTTTAAGGACAGGCTGGATGTGGCATCAGTGCCACGGTCAAGCAGACAATGAGGTGTTGGGTCAGAGGTTGGACTCGATGATCTCAGGGGTCTTTTCCAACCCAGTTGGTTCTGTGACCAGAGAGGAGAAGGGACCCTGGGAGTGGGAAGGAACTGGGTTATGCTGCTCCCTTCATACAGCAGCAGAGTCCCACTGGGATCAGGTCTCCCACAGACCAGGTTGCCCATGGAAAACTGAGGCAGGGGAAGCCCCCGCTGGGATGGCTGGGGCTGGAGCAGAGCCCCCAGCAGCTGCTGGGCCCAAGGGCTGGGGGTGCCCTGGGGTGGGGGAGCAGCACCACTGACCCCGTGTGTTGCAGAGACTGCCACGAACATCGGCTACGCCTGCAGACTGCTGACGGACGACACCGAGATCCTGGAGGAGAAGGAGATCAGGTGAGGAACTGCGACCTCCTGGTTCACTGTCCCTGCACAGGACACCTGAGGGCTCAGGAACCAGGGCAGGGGAGGCAGAGCTGAACTCAGCCAGAGATGCTTCTGCTCCCCTGTCCCAGCCTGCGTGTCCACAGTCCCACCTGCCGAGGCTTTCCCAGGCCTCCCCCTCTGTCACAGCAGCTCCTCCTTGGCAGGCTTGGAGCAGGAAAGGTTCGAGCTTCTCTCCAGCCACAGGCAGAGAGGCTGATTTCTGATATCAGTGAGCCCCTCGGGCTCCCTCTCTGCCCCCCTGTTCCCACCACTAGGTACCAGTCCCCTCTCCCTGGCTCTGAGATGCCAAAGACCCGCCGTGGGTCTCAGTTCAAGCCAGGCAGGCTGCCTGGTGCCTCAGCTCAGCTCCAACCACCCCTTCCTCACACAGTGAGATCCTCCAGGCTTACTGGGCGAGCAACAACAACCTCAGTGGCAGTGGGGAAGCCCCAGGCAGCAGCCCCCTGTCCCAGCAGTGCCCAGAGGCTTCGTGCCACAGAAGGAGAGCCATCATCATCAGCGGGGACTTCCTGGTAAGGTGGCACCTGGATGCTCCTCTCTGCTCCCTGGCTGTGCTGGCAGAGGGTTGTTTCTGCCCTGGGTGGCACCTGCAGGTGGAGGACATGATGTCCCTCCTGCTCAAGGGGTGGGAAAAGCCCATTTGGGGCTGGGGAATGAAGAGTAGAGAGGGAAACACCTTGCACCGATCATTTGGGGTTGGGGGGCTCTGACCACACCTGCCCAACCAAGTCCTCTGGGATGGCACAGCCACGGGTGGCTCTTCTGGTCACACTGGGCCGTACTGGTCCCGTGGTCACAGGGTCTGCTGTGTGAGAAAGCTCGGAGAAAACCAGAGCCACTTTTTTTGTGGTATTTACAAGATGTAAGAGCATCCTGGAGGAGCTGGGGCCCCCCACGCTCTAAGGCTGGGGGTGAGGTCCCAACCACACGTGCTCTCCCCTAAGGACAAAATCCTGCACACGGGAGAGGTGCTGAAGGAGAAGAAGGGGTGGCCGTGGCGGTGGCTGCCCCGTGGCAGGACTGTGGGCTCCCAGGAGCAGGGGAGCCTGGTGGAGAAGGCCTTTGTGGACTTGGCCACCAGCTGCCAGGCAGTGATCTGCTGCAGGGTGACCCCCAAGCAGAAGGCCCTCATCGTGCAGCTGGTGAAGAAGCACAAGAAGGCCGTCACCCTGGCCATTGGGGATGGGGCCAACGACGTCAACATGATCAAAAGTGAGTCACTGGGCAGGGGGAAGGGGGGGTCTGGCTGCTGTGTCCCACTAGTGGTGCCCAATCTGCCACCTCCATCACCTCACCCTCCCCTTTGAGGTGAGGGGAACCCCCAGACCAGTTCCCCACATTGCTGTGCTGGGAGGGAAGTGAGAGGCACAGGACAGAGACCAGCCCAGGACAAGAGCAGGGTGGACCCCTTGCTTTTGGCACCAGGGATGAACCTGGATGAAACTTCCAGCCCCAGCGTGGGCAGAGACATCCCTGCCCCTCCCCAGCAGCCCTGACGTGGGGCTGTGCTCTTTGCCTGCCCAGCCCTGCCTGGAATGTCACTCCCCGTGGGATACAGGGGGTTATTCCCTTTCCCGACACTCCTGGGTTCACCCTCTCCCTGCAAGCCTGGGGAAATCCAGCCCCCGGCTCCCCAAAACCCTCCCCATGTGCGTTTTTCCCCCACACCTGCGGACATCGGGGTGGGGATCAGCATGGAAATCAAGCCCTCAGCTCCCCAAAACCCTCCCCACGTGCATTTTGCCCTCTCAGCCGCAGACATCGGGGTGGGGATCAGCGTGGAAATCAAGCCCCCAGCTCCCCCAAAAACTTCCCACGTGCAGTTCACGCCCTCAGCCGCGAATATCAGGGTTGGGATCAGCAGGGAAATCCAACCACCAGCGCCCCAAACCCCTCCCTATGTGTGTTTCCCCCCCACCAACTGCAGACATCGGGGTGGGGATCAGCAGGGAAATCCAACCACCAGCTCCCCAAAAACCTCCCCACGTGCATTCCCCCCCCCCCAGCTGTGGACATCGTGGTGAGGATCAGCAGGGAAATCAAACCCTCAGCTCCCCAAAACCCTCCCCACGTGCATTTTGCCCTCTCAGCTGTGGATATCAGGGTGGGGATCAGTGTGGAAATCCAACCACCAGCGCCCCAAACCCCTCCCTATGTGTGTTTCCCCCCCACCAACTGCAGACATCGGGGTGGGGATCAGCAGGGAAATCCAACCACCAGCGCCCCAAACCCCTCCCTATGTGTGTTTCCCCCCCACCAACTGCAGACATCGGGGTGGGGATCAGCAGGGAAATCCAACCACCAGCGCCCCAAACCCCTCCCTATGTGTGTT